ACGAACCCCCACCCCACGTCCTGGAATACTGTGTCCTTTCCTTCCTGTGCCAACGGCCCTCCCCTCCTTCAGAATTCGCCTTCTCCTGCTTTTCACCTGACCTCACCTCCTCATGCTGACCATGGAATAATCATGGTGAGATATATTTCTTATGTTATAGTTGGTTCTTAATGCTACCATCATTTTTTTTTTCTCAAAAGTTTCCATCGGTTAGGATCGTTCCCTTATTATACAATCAATGTGTTGAGGCAGAGATAAAGCCTTCTAGTTTTTGTTAGTTTTGTTTTTAATAGCAGTGTAATGCCCCCATAAAAGTGAATCTCAACCCTGTCAGAAAGACCTTAAAGAGAGGTGGGCGTACCTTTCACACCTGGCTCACCAGCCAGACCCTTCAGCCCTGGAGTTCCAAAGAATCCAGCCTCTCCTTTGTTTCCCGGAAACCCAGGTCTTCCTTTGATCCCAAGCATGCCTTGGAAACCATCCATCCCAGGTGAACCTCTAAACCCTTCAGAGACAAAAGGAAAGTGTTGGGTTAGGCATGGATAGACACACAAAATCTGGAAAGACAAAAGTAATTCCTGCAGAGTAACTCACAGAGTAACTTAGCATCTTAGAAGATGCTAAGATTCAAAACCGAAAATAGGGATTTCTGGGACACCTAAGGGGCTTGCCTGCTGACCTACGTACAGACTGAGGGGTACAAAGTTAGCCCATCTGCCATCTGGCCACTGGGGACAAGATATAAGGTAAAAACACAGAGGTCAAGCAGTAAGATACGAGGAAAACTTGAAGGTTGCCTAGGTCCGTGGGTCCACCAAGGAGAGGTTTGAAGGGGCCCTCGAAATTAACATGTGCTAACACTGCACCCAGCATGGAAATCTGGCAAAGAACCATTGGAAGTCCACTGTGCCTCTAGTAATAGTCCAAGGCCAGAGAGCTTCGCTTCTAGGTAGACTGGCCTCAGTCTGCATGCAAATAAATCTATGCGTTTTCCTTTGTTTTGGTTCCTGTTCATCAACCAGCCTGCGAATCTGAATCCGGTCTCCTGAGGTGGCCTCTCCACAAATTCCCCAAGCAGATAAGTCCTCTTCCTCAGGCTGTCACGCTCTCTTGGCAAATTAAAAAACTTGCATTTTGGGACACCCGGCCTAAGCAGCACTGGCTCACTTTCTGAGGGTCTGAAGCTTCCTGGGGGAGAGGAGTCCTGGGGCTTCAGCCTGCAGGCATGTGGGGCTATCCACAAGCTTCTCAAGTCCAAGTTTAACATGCCCAACCCCCACAAGGTAATCCCCTGTCATGTTACACAGTTACCTTTTGGCCCAGGGATACCAGGCATTCCCGCCATTCCTTTAAATCCAGGGTTTCCTGGATGACCTCTCTCTCCCAACAAACCAGGGTCACCTCTATCACCAGAGACACCCTTCATGCCCACAGGGCCAGGGACACCTGTGTCACCTGGCTCCCCTCTGTCTCCAGGCAGACCTGTCAAAGAGAGGGGGGAATAAAAACAAAACAGGATGAAGAAACACAGAGAAAATGATATTTTTTTATGATATTTTTAAGGCATCGATTACAAAAACTTTTTCGATTAAAATAAACTTCTTGGAAGGAAAATGGGAAACTATAACCAGATGGGTGAGTTTTAAAGGTGTGACCAGAGTATGAAGAAAACCGGCAAGGCTGGCCTTTCTAAAGAAGTCTTTCTTTGAAAGCTGTGGGACTCAAGCCAAACGTGACATCTAGATGAACCTGACTTTGTCCACTCAAGTCCTCTTGCTTTTGGACCCCAAAGGAACACAGTTACAGTGGTGGAATGATCAGGGCGCCGGGGGCATTGCCGCTCTAAGCCAGGGTGTGCTTCTTTAGGTTGTTCCCGGGCTGCCCACCCCTCTTGGCCATTCTGGTTCTAGCTTGAGGGTTAAGTTCTAGGAAAGGTCCTGCACCTGCCTACTCGGCTGCTCCACCTTCCCTTATCCTTAGCCCTGCTTCTACCTCATTATCTCATTAGGGCTTCCATCGCTGCCCAGCTCACCACTGTCCCCCCAGCCCCCCGCCATACAAGCTGCCACCCCTTAATGCGCTCCTCTGTTAAAACCTCCCAACGACCCACTTGC